CCGACACGACAACCTGTCCGTACAAATATATATATATATATATATATATATATATATATATATAAGATTCCGTTGTCCGAGTTGCCAAATGCTATCGTAAAGTCGGGAACTCCATCTATTTGGAACTGGGAATGTGGGGGTTGAGGTTGTAACGTATTTTTCAATACCGCACTGCAGTACTCGACACGTCTCATTGTATTTAGAAGGTTCCTAGTATCACGAACTCGTTAATCGTGAACATTATCGTGAACGATAATGACATAGTTTTAAAAAATCTGTAGTTAAATTAGTTAGCGGTAGAGGGTATTCCATAATAGCAAATTGGAGATTAATAATAATAGTTAATAATACGTCCGCCAATCCATAGTGGATGTGATGATACACCAATCATCAAAATGTGATTGGTGTCTCCGTTTTAAGTGTTCCACCTCACTACAATATGTATGCGTTGGCCAGAAATCTCACTCAAGGGAGGCCGGCCGCCGATCATATACAGCGTGTCGCCGAACATATAAATACACATATAGAGGATAACTTTTTAAAATAGTATTAAACATTTACATCCTTTAAACATCAATATTAACTCTGTTATTAAATTTTCCAAAACAAAAAGTTTTAGAACACCCTTACGTATAAAATTGTAACGTAAAGTTCAATGAATTTAAAAGAGATATAACATACTGTTAGAAGGAGAGATTTGTATTGGTACGTTGTGGCAACGTATGATAGACGTGCGTTCATTTATTGTCGCGGTTTTAACGACACGCTGTATATCGCTGCCAGCACTTTGTTCTATTTTTTTTATTTGTCTCTTTTGTATCTCCATTCTTGCTAGCTTTTTAGCAAGCTTTTTATTAATTGCCTGTATAGTCTTAACTTCGTCTCAAATGTGTTACGGAATCAAATCTACAAACCGTTACGTGTTACTAAAAAGTTTGAATCAAATAAAAAAGCTATACTACGGTAACGACCGTTTTCGGCGGTGGTCACTTTACGACGTTACTTTTTCCACCGAAAAAAGGAAATAAACGCCGCAGCGGGATCCGAACTTGGGGCACAACGTTACGGCCGCACGGAAACTGTTTATAGACCTCACTGTATACAACATTAGCTTTTATTGCCTAAACACCGTAAATGTGATATACCTCAGTGTATTGGGACTAGATGAATGCACGGATATAATTTATTTTGAAAGTCTTACATATTCGTTTTAATCGCGCCAAAATTTTTGTGTAATATCATTGCGTATATGCATATTGGCGTCAAAGAAAAATTATTCAAAGTTGAGTAAAATTGTAGAATAATTGTTATATATATACATTCTTGCTTAATCTGGTAGTGATGAGGTTTGTGCGCTCTCAGCCACCATTAAAGGTAATTACAATGTCGAATTCTCATCGGTACAGAAAAATAAACCAAGCCAACTCGGAAATAGACCGAAAAAAAAATTTATCGATACTGAAGTTATACGTTATGTTGCACATTGATATTGTCTACACATAGGGGTTGGAGATTAAATTCTGTTGTGTAGCAAAAGCCCCATTGATGGGTCAATCAGTGCTTTTTTTGGTTCTGTGGTCTTCTTCTTATCTCCGTTCATTGTGATTTAAAAAGCCGAAAGAACATACATTATTATATTGAACCACAGAATAATAATAAATAATGATCTTTATTCACCACAAATACAAAAAAGCCGAAAAAAGACTTAAATATGAACCAATTAAAATAGAAGAAATAATATCATTTAAATCATACACTATCGTTATTAGCTCAGCATGTCTCGTTCTCAGCGTTAATGTTATTGTTTTAATTTTTCCACAGGGTAACTAGACGGGGTTGAAGCAGAGTATATAGAGGTCACGTTCAGACGACAGGGGAGTGAGAGGGACACGAAATTTAACGACGAGCATCGTCATAAGAACAGCCGTGAGTTGCGATCGTGATACGAAAGCGAGGTTAAGCATTCAGACGGGTCAATGAACTGCCGATGTCAATCCGATGCGGCTTCAATCCGATTTGTTGGAATTAACCGAGATCCTTTGTTACACAATTTATTGGTAGACTATGACTGACTTGGAACGTGAAGCAAAGAAACATTAAGTTTTTGTTATCATTTCGAAAAAATATTTATTTTATGTGAATAGTTGCCAAGCGAGCAGACGGTTCACCTGATGTTAAGTGAATACCGCCGCCCATGGACATCTGTTACACCAGAGGGTTTCAAATGCGTTGACAAACTTTTAAAAAACGGTGGCGAAGGTATTATACTTCCACTTTACGACGGTCTTCTGTGAGGTCGTGGCAAAATCCAAGATAATCATTTATTATTCTATCTATATATTCATAACTCGTAACATTATTAAATATAGTAACAATTGGTGTTACAAGTGGGATCGGGAGTGGGATAACTAAAAGGTTTATTCTATTTAATAATACTAATTATAATAATATTAAGAACGAATCCCGGAATAGGAAATAAGTAAATAAAATATGATAAATCACGGTATATTTAAAACACAAATTGTGTGTGCAACAGAAATTATGCGCGATTCGAATTAATAACACGATGCGCATAGAAAATGGCAAGTTAAAAACCATTACACCATTCGTGCAGACTTATTATACATTACTTCTACTTCAATCAGAAAGTTACTAACTGATCCAAAGTTCCATTGACATAGGGTCTACCATAGTTTATAATATTTATATTTACGAGGTTCAATATTTCGAAGTGAAATCGAAAAAAGAAGCCCGTCGAACTTTATTAATTAATAAAACATGATAACCAGAAGGGCATTAAATATTTAAATTTCATAAATTGCGGCCACAGACAATGAAATGGAATGTAGTCATGTCTTCTCGAGAGAAGACGGGCGAGCTAGCTAATATTGAAGTGTATTAAATATTAATTCAGCCCATTACTGCGAGGGGAGGATGAACCGGCGGCGCAGTTGCTAAGCCGTTTGCTTCAGCGCCGGGGGTCGTGAATTGGATTCCCACACGAGAGAATTGTACCAGATCTGGGTATTTATTCCCTTGTAGGGTTGACGTCAGGCAGGCGGCCGGCCGTAAAAAGCCTAGCCAAAACCACTTGCAATATGATTAACATGTTGTGCCGACCACACCTAGGCGAGATAAGAGGGCAGGAGAATGATGATGAGTACAGCGAGGGGAGGGGCCGTCTCCCTGGGCGTTATTCTTTTGCGGGATAAACGGCTAATGAGATCGACGTTTGTCAGAGGTCGGTGGAGGCGAGGGCGCCCTCCGTCATACAGAATTAACAGTTTACGACTATGGGCTCTGCTAATGGTGATTTTCGGCGAGGCACGACACGGGGAAATGTTTAATGAACGCACCCCCTCCTTCCCTAAGGAGCTGTATTCTAATGGACGATATTCCGCGATACTACGTCGGCTTAATTGATAACAAACAGGGTGGAATGTTATCGTGAGCGCCCGGGACGTGGTTGGCTAGTTAATGTCGAGTCACAGTCAGACCTTTGTAGAAAAATAGACGAAAAGATTTTCACTACAGCGGGAATCGAACCCTCGTCTTCCGGGTTTGCGCCGAAGCGCTTTAATCGCTACGTTTAGCGTAGTTGATTTCCATACCGACTTAAATGTCAAATTGTTTTATTATCTAAAAAACTTATCTACATTGTTCTTTCGCATTTGAAGCAATACTTGGCGCATTTAATGTTATGTCCTTAACCAACGATTTTCCCGTTTACGTAGACACGTTATGTACTATTATCGTACTACTATCGTTATGTACTGTATGTGTCTACATACAGTATATAACGATAATAGGGTCTCAGTCGAGCTTGATTTTTCACGGTAGGCCCAAGCTGTGACATGTAGTATTAATGAGCACGGTGAATAAACGAATAATGAATGATATATATTAACGTGTAGAAGATAAAATATACTCGCCAATTTACTTGGCGGCATCAAATAAGATACTGTTATTTTTAGATCCTACGTAAATCCCCAACGTCCCGTTATGGAAATGATTCCACTTGGATAAGTAGAAAATATTGATATTTTTGCACCTTCTCTAAATTTTTTTCATGACGGCGTGAAGTGGAAATTCTTCAGTCGACTTCTGCATTTCATCTAGTGAGTGAGGTAACCGGGGCTCGCTTTATTGAAAGGTGGGAACGTATCTGAAGCCCTGCAGGTGTCGCAATTGTCCACGGGCAGCGATTAACACGTAACATCAGGGGATGGCGGTTCACCAAAGTTCACCGCTCGCTTGCTACCCTCTCGCGTAAAAAAATACTTGTCGAGAAGCGATAGAATTCGCCGCCACAGGTTGTGGTTTGAATCCCCTTACCTTACCTTATGTCGGATTTTTGGCCTTGTTCAATTTGTATTTGTAAAACGCTTTTACAAAATCGGGTTATCTCCCTTTATAGTAAGAAAAATCATTCTTTTTAAAACAAATAAATCAAAATAACCTTAAGCCTCAAACCATAATAACCTTCAAGAGAAAATCGGCTCAGAATCCGACGCCTCGGCAGCTGAGAAATCCACCTTTTATTGCGAAACGATAAATCAAAGACTTTTATATTAAACTAGCTGATATCCAAGACTTTATCTGCTCTGTCTTGTCTTCGTATATTATATTAACTCTACACGCTTGGCTCACACCTTCACGTCAAGGAAACACACCTGACTGAACTCTGACGTGCTCATAAAATCGTTGCCTGATTACAATATTGAATTAAATAAATATATGACAATAGCATTCTTTTAGATGAGGGGCCAAGTGTCTTAACAAAACTTAGAAGAATCCATTGAAATCTGTTCAGTAGTTTTAGTGGTGCGTGATGATAATAACTCTTTATACAGGCCCATCGTAATAATTGAACTTTTATGACTTTACTCATAATTATAAGATAACCAGCCCAGCAGTGGGGTATTGCCCGGGTTGGTAACCTGCCGTTCGGAGTGTAACATCGAAGCGGGCGCGTCACGCCGGCGGGTCGTAAAGTATCACGGATCGCTGCTTAAATGCACCGGTGCGTTCATCGTCGCCGCATCTCCTGGGCCGACCCTCGCGGCGGCTGCGACCCTCCTGGAGACACCGACCCTCCGGGGACCCTCCGAGGGACGACGACGGTCACCGCCGCAGCGGAGACGATGCTCCGTAGACGTTCCAATCACTGCTTCACGGTTCCGTAGATGTTCTGTAGACGTTCGCCGGTTATGTAGACGTTCCATTCACAGGTTCACGGCTACCTGGCTCCCTTCAAAAGTTCTTTTTGTGAGCGAAGCCTTTCTTGATATTATTCACACATTTAAGCGTCTCCGGCTAGATATATACTCGATGATAAAAGTTTCGTGACCAAAACTTGTGTTTGTACCTTGTAATTATTATATATTTTACTAGCCATCCGCTCCGGCTTCGCACGGGTGCAATAAATTATACATATAAAACTTCCTCTTGAACCACTCTATCTAGTAAAAAAAACCGCATCAAGATCTGTTGCGTACTTTTAAAGATTTAAGCATACAGACAGACAGCGGGACAACTTTGTTTTATACTATGTAGTGACTTACGAGCTGACTGTAATATAGTTTTTAAATCAGATTTATGAATAGGTTCTTATGTATGTATGGATGTGATTGGCCGGTATCCCGTCTGATGGTTCGAATATGCGGTTATTTCACAATAACAATAGAAACTAATAATGAAAACATTAACAGAAGCAATAAAATGTGGAGTAATCATAAGTTTCAATACAAAGTAATTAGCTCTGATTTAGCCATTGATTAAAAAAATCATTCTGTGGTATTCCCACCGTAAACTACGCTGTTACCTGAAACAAAACAAAACACATCACATATCGGCTTTTGCATACAAAATTTGCAGATGCATGATTAATATATCTAGTCCATAATTAGGGCATGGTTATCAATATTATTAATTAATTGCATACAAAATTTGCAGATGCTTAATTAAGCAATCTAGTCCATAACGAGGGCGAGTTCACCAGTATTATTAATTACCTGCAGTAGACCACAGCCAGATACACAAAATACTGCTCAATTGAGTGCCATGTAATCTGAATACAATAAATAATAAAATAATTGACGTAGCCCAGCCAGGTGTTCATGGGCGGCGGTAATCACTTACCATCAGGTGAGCCTCCTGCTCGTTTGCCCCTTTTCTCCATAAATAAAAAAAGCCCGTGTTAATTCTGACGTTAGGACGCGAAACAACTGGGTCTGTCCTATGATCATGTACTCTGGAAAGGATTCGAAACGTAGGGAATTCAAAATTAATTTAAAACGCGATAACGCGATGAAATTTTCGCAGATGATGTTTTTCTGTCGCCGCTATAACAACAAATACCAAAAACCAGAATAAAAAAATATTCAAGTGGTGCTCCCATACAACAGATATGATTGTTTTTTCCGTTTCTATAGATAATGTTACGGAACCCTTCGTGCGCGAAACTGACTCGTTCTTGGCCGGCTCTTTTGTTTCTTTTTCATTCAATTTTGTAGTTCTCTTCTCTGCACTTATATTATTATGTGAAATTCGTAGAAAAACGTACGAAAAGTTTTTCACCGCTGCGAGGATTTGAACCTGGGTCCTCTGGGTTATGCGCCCAACGCTCCAAACACTCAACCAAACGGTATGTCTTCTACAAATTTACTATACTAGACTTATCTATACTCCTATGCCTCGTCAAACCTAAGTACACCGGCGGGCCTGTAAGGGAATTATGAAGTTTCATGGGGGGAAAACGACATTCACTAACCGAGCTTATTACGTAGATAGACATCGTATCGAGCCACAAGCGGAGGCTTTGGAAATCCCACGCGATAATAGTTCAGGGCACGCAACCTTTTTAATTTTCGGCCCACGGACGTCCTTTGTGGACTATTAGCGTATGTTACTTTAACTAAACAGCTCTAATTCCAAGCGGTTGTAATCGGTGGGTTTATGGTTGCGGAACAGGCGAGAATGATGCGTCAGGGCGATGAGGCTTCGAGGGAAATTCGTGATATACGCACGAATACCCCTTTGGGGTGGCTGCTGTGAGTGATTGTACACACTTGTATGATGTATGTTTCATGGGTTCAAATTTTAATGTATCCAACGGAAGATATCAGTTAAGCAAGTAATTTAAAATTTCGTTGAAACAATAATGTAATAGAAAAAAAAGTGTAGTCTCTCAGAACTCGTTTTAACTGCGGTAGGGCTACGCAACAGTTTTTAATGTGGCAAGAATGAGCTATCTGTAACAGCTCCCGTAGGTACGCTACTAGCAATAGCAAAGATAAAACGATTATTTAGACAAGGAATTACACCGAAAAGCATACTGTTAATCTTCACCGAACAGACTTCATACCCCAGACGTCGCGTAACTTTGTCCAAACACCACGGACCCGAGGAATCGCGCCGCATAGGAGCAATTAGTGCAAAGAAGTTGATTTAAGGCGGGCTTAATAACTGCACTTACCCTTAGCGGGGTCCATTAAGCAGCCGGCCCGTTTGATGTTGGCCGAAAGCGTTTCCCGCGCTGGCAGTTAACGTTGATCGCGTTTGGGGTATTACGAAACTCATGCCGACACATAAACCCATGGCTCTTATTCATTAACCCTAAGTGTGAGCTTCTAACTACGACATACTAATGGAATACAGTTAAATCTTGCCATAATTTAACCTTTATCTATATAGATAAATAAAATTGGATTGTCTGTTTGTAATATTTAAATAACCGCTTTTTACTTGATGCATATGGATGTATACACGGTACATATCAATCAAAAATCTTTATTCAAATGGACGCTTGCGCGTTCTTATGAATCGTCAAATTTTACGTAAAAATAATACATAGGGGTTCGTATGGTACATATACAAAAATAACATTTTTTACAATTTTTGTCTGTCTGTTTGTTCCGGCTAATCTCTGAAACTGCTGGACCGATTTGGACGGGACTTTCACTGGCAGATAGCTGATTACATATAAGGAGTAACTTAGGCTACTTTTATTTTAGATTTTTTTTAATTTTAAATTCCACGCGGACGAAGTCGCGGGCACAGCTAGTCTTTTATACTGTGTATATTAACAGCGTTACCCGGTTAACAATACTGGTTTATTTGAAACATAAAAAATCGATCAATCGCAGTTGAGGAACGCGCGAAATTTTAGATTTGACAAGAAGACACGGAAATTAATGAATAATAACTTAATCTCTGTCGTGACATTATTTAGGGCCAGGCAGAAGCTATTCGAGCCAATTACATACTGTGAAACATACATAATCGTCACAATAAGTTCAATATTTAAAATTCAAGTGCGATAAAATCCGTAATTTTAAAGAGCGTGTTGCATTCGCGAAAATACATATAATCACCTAGTGATATCCTTCTTTCTATCTCGGAAAGTGGTAAAAGAGCGAGGTAATCCCCCGGCCGATGTTAAGTGATAACCGCCGCGCATCAACTTTTGCAACACCCATGACGTTTCATATGTGTAGCCACCTTTTATTTTTCAATAAAAATAGATACAGAAAAGCGTCCGCGTCGTAACGATTTATGATTGATACTTTCTTAACAGAACACGACATGAACAAGGAACAACGTCATATAACCCCACTGGATTAAATCGGAGCGGGGAGGAGACGAATATTAAATAGAAAACGTTGGACGAGAGTGCTCGTGCCGAGTGGTTGTTGCATCTCGCCGGTTTGTGTTTTCAAGAGCAACGAAAAACGTCACGCCACGGGCGCTGCTCTGTGACATTAAACGGGAGGGGAGCAGCGGGTTGAAGTCGAGGGGGCTCCAGCCGCGGCGCAACAAAGCGAACGGCCCTGGATGGATCGTCGAACATCATGGAAAAAATAAAACCACAGAATACTCTATCAACGTTTCCCGAATTTAGACCTAACCTGATTAAGTAAAGGACGAAGAATTCCACAGATATATACGTTGAATGTATAAAACAAAACATTACTATATTTGATTACTAGTTGCTGCCCGCGACTACGTCTGCTTAGAATAGACTGAAGGCAGAAAGACAGATATACATTAAAAATGTATATAAATTATAGCCTATGTCTTATTCTGATGCATAAACTATATTATTGAAAAGTTTCATTAAAATCCATACAGTAGTATTTGCGTGAAAGAGTAACAAACATCCATACAAACTTTCGCCTTTATAATATTGTAAGGATGTTGGATGGGAAAACTGTAGCGCTTTGGAGAATTTGCGCATAAAAAAATAAACCATCAGATCCATCCATGGACTCTGGACACTCCCGGCACGCTGTTCAGTATTACCAGTCACTATTATTAAAAATGTCCTTTCCCACTTACAGTAGTTAGTTCTTAGAGAACATTAAATATGAAGGAAATCTAATGAAAACGGGGAATCACATCCAATCGTCAGAGGGGTTTCAAATAGATTTTGGCGCCAACTTTGTAATCAATTTAATCATTGATAAAGAAATATTTTTCTATTTGGAATGAGAGAGATAATTACATTGATCATTTGATTGCGTAATATCTCCCAAACATACGACGCATATCCAATTTTCGACGATTCAACCGGATTGATGGATGTAATCAATGTCATTAATGATAATTGCATTGATTACATCTGTACATATGCTCGATGCTTTATAAGCCAACAAGACAAAGTTTGTTTTTTAACTTATTCTTTTAACATTCTTCTTACTATTAATTAACTCAAGTGAAAAGGACAATGTATACAATAAGAATCACGCAGCGCTCGGTGAGTAAAAAAATAAATGATTGATTTGCTACTAGTTAATTAAATTTAACCTTCAAAGGTGATAGATGTAATGCAGACGTATGGATCATAACGATCTAAGTTAAAGCACTGTTACTGAAATAAACCTATATTACCAACATTTGTTTTTTCTTTCACAGAACGAAACAAATATATTGGTATCGCTAAAGAATTTCATTGGCTGAAGAAATAATAACATTCTACAACAAAAGGCCGTTCTGACTAAAACGCCGCAGTGAAAAGTGAACGGCAATTTTTGAGTTCATCAAGCGTCGAATCACAATTGGGTCAGCCCAGCGCTGCGGGTCCGCGTGGCAATATCCGGCGCGTGACATCGCCACTTCCGGCCCGTGAGAGCCTCCGCAGTGTCGGAACGCGCCGCGGCTTCCGCCCGTGGCATCGATATGGCGGGAAAAGTTCATTTGTCACATTTACATAACAAAGAATCGTGAGTAATCGACTTATTGTGAGCGGCTACGGCGTAGCTTTATTATGAACGTAAATTTACGCTACATTTACTACAACAATAAAGCTACACGCTTGCGTAGACTTAAAATTTATTTACAACAAAGGTCTAAAACAAAAACTGGGGCACGTAAAGTGATGGCTTCCTAAGAAAATAAATAAAAGTAAAGTAACAGCCTATACATGTCCCACTGCTAGGCAAAGGCCTCCTCTATACAGAGGGTATCAGGGCATAGTCCACCACGCGGCCCCACTGCGGATTGGCGGACTACACATATCTTCGAAAAATATTTTTTTTTATTATTTCGAAAATATGCAGGTTTCCTCACGATGTTTTCATTCACCGCGGAGCACGTGATAAGTCAGCACTTAAAGTTAAAAACTTCATTGGTGCCGGCACCGGGAATCGAATTCAGGTTGCTCGAGTATTTTGAATTAAAGGCAAGCGCCCGGACACTGAGCTATCACGGCTCTAAAATGAATAGCTATGAATTTAATCGACTGTGAAAATACGTCGTTTAACACCTGCAACTACATATCCTATGGCGACTATTCATGAAGTTTAATGATTATCAAGTGTAAGCCGGTCGATGATAGAAAATTACCTGTGGTAGAGCCACGCAATAGTTTTCGCTGTTGCACGAATGAGCAGGTCCATCCGGGGACCTACTATGACCTCAAAGAAGACCGGCATGAAGTGGAAATATTTCAACTTTTAAGGCCCATTTACACGATGCCTTTTTCTTGTACATACAAGAGCAATAATTGAATGCAATAAATAATTGCGCGCAATAATTGTTAAGACCATTTGTTGTTTAGACCATGCAACTCATTTATTGCTTCAATTTAATTGTATACAACAGGCAAGAAACTGGCACCGTGTAAATGGGCCTTTATTGTGCTAATCCATTTGCTTGCATTTAACAAGAAACATTAAATTCGGGAATCGAACCCACGTCTTCCGAATTCTTCATTTGGGCGCGAATACGCGAGTCGTGGATTCACTCAGCGGCGAAAGACTTTTCGTCCTTTTCTTTAGGGTTCCGTCCCCAAAGGGTAAAACGGAACCCTATTATTAAGACCACGCTGTCTGTCTGTGTGTCCATCTGTCACCAGTCTACATCTCTAGAACCGTGACAGAAAGTTGAAATTTTTACAAATGATTTATTTCTGTTGCCCTAAAAATATTAATATTTAAGCCGCTCCCACACACCAAACGCGAGGCTGTTGCCATAGGCAACCTATAGGTTCTTACCAAATAGTTTATTATATGCCGACTCGCAATTGGCCGGTTTTTTTACAAGTTTAAAGTGCTTCGAATTCTAATGAACACGTTTAGTAACGCAACAAGTGGTTTCTTCACGCTTAAAAAGCTTTTGACCCGTGAAAAAATTAAGGGCGGTTAATTCGCTTCGACCGTTTTACAAATGAAACGGCTTAGAAGGAGGGTACTTGGGAAGCGCTTTTAATGTACAAAAGGCTAAAACAACACTCGAAGGAGGATAAAAGGTGGTTGTATTATTCTTTTTGAATAACCGACAACTTATAATAATAAACCAGTCGACCTGTACGACAATATTGCACAGTAAGGTGACCAGTAACTAGAGGGTGATATAATAATACTTAATATTATAAACGCGAAGGTTTGAATGTACCGATATATGGATGTTTACTTCTCTTTCCGCAAAAACTACGGAAAAAAAAGGGATTTTAATGAAACCTTACAATAATATAGCGTATACATAAGAATAACACATAGGCTATAATTTATAAAGATAGAAGGATCTCACTGAGTGTCTGTTTCGCATTCAGGACTAAACTGCAGAACCAATTATGATGAATTTTGGTATAAAGATGACTAGGACCTTGCAGAAGAAAATGAACTAATCAATGACCAATCCGGCACAGACGAAGTCGCGGGCATAAGCTGGTGTGCAAATAAGCTTTTATCAATGATAGGTTTTTTCTTATTTGTTATATTAGAAGCCGGCAAGCAATCTTGCGGTTAACCTGAGGTTAATCAGTATTTATCTCTTTGCCGTCTTCTTTGATTAATGGCCCCTCTAAATGATGTCTTTCATTTTTCATTCACAGATCATTTTAGAGGATAGCGATAAAATTCAGTGCACTTCGCTATTATTCATTTTTTAAAAAAATTTATTTCTAAACATTTTTAGCAAATTTTCTCCAAGTATTATCTACTAGCGACCCGCCCCGGCATCGCACGGGTGCAATGTAGACATTGAATTTCTCGGCTTTTCTCTACTATAATATGCATGTATACTAATTACACATAAACCTTCCGCTTGAATCAAACTCGAACTGTGGTAGGGCGCAATATTGTTGCACGAATGGGCAGGCCTGTCCGGGTAAGTACCACGACCTCACAGAAGACCGGCGTGAAGTAGAAGAGTTACATACGCTTCTGCGTTTCGTCCGGTGAGTGAAGTAGCCGGGGCCCACTTTATTTTAAGGTGGCAACGGATTTGAAACCCTACGGGTGTTTCAAATGTCCATGGGCGGCGGTTATCACTGAACATCAGGTGAACGGCCAGCTCAAAAAAAAATCACTATCTACTGGTGAAAGCGCAAGACCGGTCCGTAGTTTAAAAGGTCTAAGCGTACAAACAGCGGAAGCGACTTTGTTTTATACTATGTAAAGATTATTATAAATCTCATAGTAATTTTAGCGCATAAATATTTCATAATTTACAACTTTATAGAAAAAATACATAATTAGCCCGGAAAGTCTTTTCCTTGTTATAACCTTGTTGTAAAAATCGCTTTGTAAACCAGTAGGTCATAAATAATTCCTCGCGAACTCTTGGGCGCCGACCCTAACGCTCGGAGGGGAATAATGCGTCCGATAAATGTGGCTGTACGATTATAGATGCAATTTAAAGGTGCAAATATACTACATCCCATTTACAAAGCGTAAAGGAATATCACACGTTTCAGCAAATATTTAAGGGTGACTTTTAAATATAGTATCATCGATAAATAATCATTCACTCAGAGGGTCCGCTTGTCAACAAATATTGAGTTGGAATAAGGGGATGACATCAAAGATCGATTGTTTGGTGAACTTTAACATAAATTCTCAATAGAAATATTCATGGTAACATAGTAATAACTCATAGCAATGTAATATTCATAATTCTTCATTTCTACACTCAATTATATTTTTAATATAACAAAAAAAAAATTGTACAAAAAGGAACAATAAATAGAATATATATAAGTTTTACGATTCAATGATAACACGTCGTTCAATGTTTCAGAAATGCGTTATTATGTTATCTTAGCTAGCGACAACTAGCTCGAAAGCTAGCTAGTAGACAATGTTTTTCAAGTTACTGGAAATTTAGATATTGGTTTTTCTCGCAATGTCTTCCTTCCGAGCAAATGCTAATGATCGCTTGGAACTGCAATTAAGAATTTTATTGGAGCCAGAAACTATGATTCAGCTCGCTCAAGTACGCTTAATTTTATTGCGAACACCCGGACTAGTTACTTAGTAAATTGCGATGATTATTAAGGAACATTATTATTTTGTAGCCTAGTGATGTCATATACAAACACGAGGTAGATATAAAACTAGCTCACCGAAACCGAGGTATCAAAATTACGCCAATTGACGTATTTAGATTGCAATTCTATAGACTGCTATGTCTTTCCGTATCACACGTTCTATATCATCTGTCACTTTCACTGATATATGTCATATAATGTAAAGCGGAACAATTGTTTAGTAGCCCATGTTACTCCTTATTACATCAACTATCTGCTAGTAAAAGTCCTGTCAAAATTTCTCCAGCCGTGTCAGAGATCAGCCGGAACAAACAGACAGACAGAAAGACCAAAATTGTGAAAATTTTTATTTTCGTATATGTACCGTGTATACATACTACATGTGTACATTTAGTAAAAAGCTGTTTTTTTTATGGGAATAGGAGGCAAACGAGCATGCGGGTCACCTTTGCACCTTTGCGGGACATTTGCAACATCGGTTGAGTCGCAATTGCGTTGCCGGCCTTTAAGGTAGGAATAGGCTCTCTTTTTGAAGGTCCCTAAGTCGTATCGGTCTGGAAATACCGCTGGCGACAACTCGTTCCACAAAGTAGTTGTGCGGGGTAGAAAGTTTCGTCAAAACCGCACTGTGGCGCCAACCATCAAGGTGGTGTCGATGGCACTTGGCGGTTTTACGAGTTGTACGACGGTGAAATTCACCAGCAGGTATCAACCCAAACAATTCCGCAGAGCACTCCCCATGATATATCCGATAGAAAATGCATAGAGTTGCAACATCCCTTCGCAAAGCCAAAGAAACGAGGCGATCGGACAGGATTTGGTCGTCGACGATTCGAGCAGCTCTTCGTTGAATGCGGTCAAATAGAAGGAGCTGGTATTTCGGTGCCCCAGCCCAGAGGTGAGAACAGTATTCCATGTGAGGCCGAATCTGTGCTTTATAAAGCTGCAACCAATGTATCGGCAGGAAATACTGCCTCGCTCGGATTAGGACAACGAGTTTTTTAGAAGCCACCTTGGCTTTTCCTTCATTGATATTGTAACGACCTATTAATAATAATAAATATTATTATTAATTAGTCATAATAAAGATCAATTAAGATGAAAATAAAACGTTTAAGAACGTTTAGTCACAATAAAAGTTAATAATATATACTTAAATTAAAGAAATATAAAGTGTTAGTATGAGAAAATGATATTACCAAAAATTGATTAAAAAATAGTTAAAAATCACTTAAAATACTCAAAAAAGGATATTTATTAAAAATATAGCAAGATACGATCACTATTATGTCCATTAAATACAATTCCATACTTAGTGATTTCTAAGGGAAGTATTATGTACCGTGCGGGGACACATTTGTATGACCGCACATATGTAAGTACAGAGGTCGATCGCGACTCTTAGTACTATAGTCAAAGTACATTG